TTTGATTTGGTTGATTGATGCTACGATGCTCTGTTTTTGAGCATTGATATATGGTGTTGTTCTGTTTTTGAACATTGCTATATGGATTATTTGAAATTTGGTTGGCATATTTGATCACGGTTTTGGACTCTGAATGGTATCTTGTGATTTTGGCTGAACAATTGATGTTTTTGCTACTGATTTGATGCTTATGGATTGGATAGTATGATTCAAGTTCACAAAGTTTTGTAAATGACCAATACCTCTGTTTTGATCAGTTTTTGGTATTGTTCTGAGCATATAAGGAGTATGCATAAAGCTCATACTGTGTGTTGTGGACATACATAGATTGATTTGTTTTTGATGATGTCCAAAGGGGGAGAAAGGTTTTGTTTTGGTTGTTTTGCAGGTTTTGAATGTGAAAGAAAAGGCAAAAGAAAAATGAACAAAATGGCTTAAGCTTAGCATGGTTTGTCATCATCAAAAAAGGGGAGATTATTGAGATTGGGGGAGCCTGAGATTGACGAGATCACCTCTGAAGATTGAGAGTTTTGATGATAACAAATGTGTGGAACAAAGCTGACCAGGACATCAACAACTTAGAAGTCAAAAACAAAGTCAAAGGAAAAAATGTTATGTAATAGGAGTATTATATAGTTTATAAAATTGCTTTGTTTGAAGTTTATCTTTTGTGTGTGCTTTGTGCTTTGGCAAAATCTATATTTAATCTGATTAGGGAGTGGATGATGATGAGTTTAAAAGGTTAAGAAGTTATTTTGAGACTTAAAACAAAGTATTGAAAACTAACTCAAAATAATCGATTATCATTAAATATAATCGATTATTCTAGCAACAGGCAAAAAGGGATGCCTTGCTGCAATAATCGATTATTTGTGAAATAATCGATTATCTCAGAAATGACTCTCTGGAATAATCGATTATCCAGCAAAATAATGATTAAATTGTTCTTGGTTGGTTTCCAGAAAACCTGAAGAACAAAATAATCGATTATTCTTTAAAATAATCGATTATCTGGTTCTGAAAAACTTATAAATAGTTTGATCATTTTGAAACTTCAGAACAGAGTTAGAATTGAGAATCAAAATTAGAAAAACGTGTTTGTGAAGTATTTGTGACATTCTTGGGAGTTTTCTTTGTGAAACCAAGAAGGAAAAACGTTTTTGAAAAGATTTGAGAAAAGATCATCATCAACACATTCTTAAAAGAGAAAAGATTAAGATTTGCTTCTGAACTCCAGGTGAATTCGTTCCTTAATTCTTTGTGAATACTTGTAAATCTTGAGTAGGTTTCTCAAGTGGTAAGGAATTCTTGTAGTGGGTTTCTACAAGGGGTGCTTTCTTGAGGTCAAGAAAGCGGTTATCTTGAATGTAGGAGTATATGCATATGTGGTATGCTTGTAAACCTTCTTCATTAAGATAGTGGAACAAATCTTGATCAGGTTATGATTGAGGACTGGATGTAGGTCACATGTGGAGTGGCTGAACTAGGATAAAAGACTTGTGCAATCTTTTCTTACCCTTATCTTTTACTTTGTGTAATATCTTGATTGTATATTGAAAAGATTGTTCTTGATTAACATGTTTGCATGAGTAATATTGATTTGAACTGAGTGTTACATATTGTTCTATTGGTTAATCAAGAAAGCGTATAGGATTCATTCTTCAATAACAAGTCTTTAAGAAACTTCATTGAAAATTCATTTTTTAGAAAAGTTTATTTGAAATAAAGATCCTAAATACTCTGAAAATTTTTAAAGTGTAATAGAATCCAATTCACCCCCCTCTTGGATTGAGCCATTCTTTTCTAACAGAATACACCACTAGGGAAGGCCCCCTTCTGTAAAAGCTTGGGGATTAGTCCTTCAGGGGATAGCTCGATTTGTAAGTCACATTCTCACCCATTGTGTGCATGGGATGTATCTTGCGCGGCTTAGTTATCCCGATTAGACCCTGGTAGTATGTCTTTCTAGTGAGAGCGTGTAGAGGGTGTGACCCGGTATGTACTCCTAGACTACTCTTCGTGTGTTGCTAACGACAACCATGTGATGTGTTACTGGCGCCACATGCATGCACTTGTGAGTCGAGTCCATGGCATCATTTCATAATGAGTGACTATGTATGTGCTACTAATGTATGTATGACTTGAGTTGATGGAATCATGCCTAGGAAGGCAAGGGGTGACACATTAAAAGAACCAAGAGAAATGGGCTAGACATGAAGGTTTGGGCCAGTCAAGGCCCAATGGGCCCAATGGGCTTGGAAGGCCCAAATTGAACTTCTCATGGGCCATATCTTGTTTTAGCTATTTTCCTTATGTCTTGTATATATCATATTAGTGTAGGTATCATATATTTTGGTCTTGTATTTTGGACCATTTAGGATAATATTTTGGGCCATAGGCTTATTGGGCCTAGTTTTGGGCTTCATAGGCCTTTGGGCTTTTGGTACCCAATATTGGGATCATTTTGTTTCTTTTATTATTTCCTTTTATTTGTACATGTTTGGCCATTGTATTTAGGCCATTAGAATAGGAATTTAAAAGAAATAAGAATTAGGCATAAATCATAGAAATCTAATTACATTTAGGAGTAATTAGAGTTGCATTTGAGTCACATGTTTTGTGCCAAAGGGGGCTGCACTTTTGGTCACTCAAATGAACCCTAAATTACACTTAAATGTAATTAAGGTTTCTAGAAGGAGGGTCTGCACATGGGAAGCCAAAGTTAAATTTGAATTCAAATTTTGCGCCACTTTTGTGCCTTTGGAGTTGGCACCACTTTCTTGATTTCTTTGCCTATATGTGCTTGTTTCTTTCATCATGTAAACACTTTGAATCATTAATGAGATTTCTGAAAATTATTCAGCCAAGTCTCTCCTCAAAGTCACTCTCACCTAGCCTAGGTTCCTTTGAACTTTCTCTAGGTTTAGCACCTTTGTGAGTAATCCATTACTCACCTTGCTTTGGTGCTCCCTTCTTCTTCATTCTTCCTTTTTCTTCACGTCATCAAGGTTCTTCCTAGCTGGAATTTTCGTCCAGAAACCTTCAAGGAGAAGATCAAGTGGCCGGAGCAAGCTTAAGGTGAAGAACATTCATCCTCCTCACCTAAGTTTGCCATCATTTTTGGTATCAAGAGCATTGGTTCACTCCTTGAGATTTTGTGCATTCTTTCACCGTTTAATTTTTGTATTTTGTGTTGTTATATGTCTCTTATGTGTCTCGCTGTTTGGATCTAATTTTTTTGGTTGATATTTGATGGATCCAGTTGATGTGATTGCATTTTGTTCAATCCGCAATCACATGGAGTCTAGGTTTCTATCTTGTCCGGTTTTAAATTGTTTGAGTCTTGTTCTTTAATTTTGATTCGGTCATCTTTGAGTATTGCATGTGATTTTGATTTTTGAATCTTATAAAAGTCTAGAAGTCATGTGTAGTCATTTGTTTGTCAATTGATTCAAGATGTGCTTAGTTTAAACTTTTTATTTGATTCATTTTCTACTAAAATTGCTTTGGCCGAGAGCTATACTTTGTGTGCCTTCATATGTGCTTTTTGATTTGCAATTTTGAGTTCATATCCATCACTAGTTCATTGATGGATTCTTAGAGTTAGGATTCCATTATGTCTTGATGTTTGTGTATTGATTTCCATTCCAAGAAAAACATCTAAAAATTGTGATCATATTTTCTAAAATTTTGGCTAGTTGAAGTAGTTCAAAATTGGTGCATGAATTGGAGTTTATGAATCTGGAAAAATTGCTTGTAAAACAGAGGAAAAACAGAATCAATATTGAAAATAAATTTTCAAGTGAATTTGAAATGAAAACAAGCAAGTGTTTGCAAAGAACATGCACCAAATTCCTTATAAATTTTGAACTAGTTCTGGCTGAAATTTTTTTTTTAGTAATTCGGATTCAATCTTTTAATTAGTGTGGCTGGAACATTTTTTTGGAAAAAGGCAGTGAGATCTCCTTTGAAACAAAATAATTATAAAAAAAAGAAAGAAAAGAACAAAGTAGAAAAAGCCAAGGAGAAACATAGAACAATGAAAATGTGCCACCAAGCTTAATCCGGATTGCAATCTTTTTAAATCATATCTTAATCTTCTCTTCCTTTAATTTTTGGTTTTCTTAATCTAATCTAGAGCTAATCTAGGACCTTTCCTTTTGTGTGCCAACCTTTAGGTGTGTCTTAATTTTTAGTCTTTTGGTCTTGATTGGAACTCTTTGGTTTGTCACATTCTTACTCTACTTTGGTTTAACTAATCCTAATTGAGCTTTTTCTGTTTTATCCTTGGATTCTTTGGCTGGGAGCTGCATCAAACCATTGCAATAAGAGTAAGCATTGTCTCACAAAGCTTAGAGGAAGGCAAGGAAATTTAAGGCTAGAAGATTTTGGAAAGTCAACAACACTAGAACCGTTGAACCTACTAAACAACCTTCACAAGAGTGAACCTACCATTTTCATTGTGAGGTGGCCTTAATTTTTCTGGACTCATTTTGTTCATTGTGAAGGTCAAGATCTTCAAAGGAGGACACCAAAAGTAGTGGCGAATAGGTTAATGATATCCTTATAAGTTTCTTAGACAATTTGTTTTTGGAATTTTGCCAGGACATTTGATATGCAATTATATTTTTACACTTAGGTTTAATTGGTATATAAAAGTTAATGAAAATTCTCCAATAATTAATAAAATATCTTAATTATAGAAATTTAGGAAAATTTAAATTAGTTTTAGCTATTTTATTCGTAACAATTCCTAAAATGCATCTCCCAAAACTAGTCTAAGATAAGTTAAACAACCTACAAATACTTAGTTCAAACTTAGCACAAGTAGTGCATGATTTTGGTACAAAAATTATATCACATCAAACTTGCTTACAAAAAATTTAACATAACCAAATAATGAGACGCATGATCTATCTTCTACCATATCATCAAAAGTGCATGACAACTCTTTATAAAAGTTTATAGAGTTAAGATTTCAGCAGAACTAAAATAGAAACCATGCCTGAGTAGCGGCCGTGTCAGCAACGGAATCGAAGGTGAAATTATGGCCATTAATCGACAGCGAGTCATGCGAAACCTTCTGAACAGTGGGATCTCCGTCGTCCTTGTCCGCGTTCAGCGGCCTCATCCTCACGATAACCTAAAACAAGCAAGGAATGAGTAATCGGACGAAATGAAAGCGAAATGAAAATGAAAACCCTAATTGGCGATACCTTGACGCCGGAATCGGAGGGTGCGGAGAGAGAAGCATCGGAGAGTGCATCGACGGCGAGCTTGCGCTTGAGAGGGTTGGAAGAGGGAGGCCTCGGAGGGAGGGGACTCTTCAATTTGGAAGGGGAAGGGGAAGGAGCGAGAAGATTAGGATCGGAGGGAGGGTCGTTTTCTTTGGAGGGTTTGTGCTTGCGAGAGGGACGGGGCTTAGTAGGGGTTGAGGAAGAAGGGAGATCGGGCTCCCTGAAGCTAGGGTTTCTTGGGAGCATGAAGTGCTTCATTGTTTGGGAGAGGAACGAAGACAGAGGGAGCGAACGATAGGAAAGAGAGGTAAGAAGAAAGAAGAAAGAAGATGGAGATTGGAAAGAGCCGTTGGAGGGATTTGATTTGAATTATTGGACAGTTGACAGAGAAAGGAAGAAAGAAAGAGAGAGAAAGAGAGCGAAATGAAGATTTTTGAATTTGTTTTTGGATCTGGAGCGCTTATTTGGATTCGGACACCCGGAAAATACAATACCAGGATCCGATGGGATGGAGAATGGACCGTCTCTTTCTCCATAATTATGGATTATGGAAGCATGTATATTATCTTTATTTATTTAAGAAAATCAAATTTGGTAATAACCATTTATAAAACTCACTCATCTACTTAATTAACTGAGTTGAACTACTATAATTAATGGTTATGGATGGATATATATAATTCATTCACAAATATTAAAATTTAATTTATAAGTATGTAATAAATAAATATTTATAATTTTATAAATTATATTATCATTATAAATTATAAATTCAAATAATTTAAATTATAATTTTAAATAAAAATAAGTAGATTTAATTATAAAAGTAAGTACATATAAATAATGAATAATTAAATATATTATTATTATTATTATTTGTAATATAAAATTATTATATATTATCATTATAGTACAAGTATGAGATTGTATATTTGAGGATGACTTGAATGAATTAATTTGTACAAGTTATACTGACAACATACATATATATATTTTGGTAGCTTACTCATCAGAACTTCACAATTAAGCGTGTTTGACCTGGAGTAGTACAGGGATGGGTGACCTTCTAGGAAGTTTCCCAGAAATTGCGCAAGTAAGGATAAAACACGCTAACCAGTGAAATGTCGTGAAATAGAACCCTTGAGAGGCCAAATATGAGGGTTGTTACATTAATAAATTTATTAAAATAAAAAAAATTATAAACTTCAACGGAATTTTTTGACGGATATTTCTGTCGAAAATTTCTGACGGAATTTTCTATCAAAAATTTGATAGAATTTTCTGACAGATATTACCGTAAAAACTTTTTGACAGAATTTTCTGACAGATTAAATTATTTTCAACGGATTTTTTTTCCGACGCCACTTTTTCTGACGGATTTAAATCCGTCAAAAATCTGTTGGAAAAAAAAATCCGTCGGAAATTTACTTGTTTTCGTAGGAAATTTCTGTCGAAAATCAACATTTTTCTTGTAGTGGCTTAGGAGAGTACTTAATACTCTATGATCATGAGGAGAGTGTCTCTTGGTGTGTGAGTTCCCTCCTCTTCTATCCTCCTAGCCATGGACCTAGTGATAGGGCCCACATGTGTCTTCAAGGACAGTCCCCCATCATCATGTAAACACTTTGAATCATTAATGAGATTTCTGAACAATTTTCAGCCAAGTCTCTCCTCAGAGTCACTCTCACCTAGCCTTGGTTCCTTTGAACTTTCTCTAGGTTTAGCACCTTTGTGAGTAATCCATTACTCACCTTGCTTTGGTGCTCCCTTCTTCTTCAGTCTTCCTTTTTCTTCACATCATCAAAGTTCTTCCTAGCTGGAATTTTCGTCCAGCAACCTTCAAGGAGAAGATCAAGTGGTCGGAGCAAGCTTAAGGTGAAGAACATTCATCCTCCTCACCTAAGTTTGCCATCATGAGTTGTGCTTGATTAACGTGTATTTTGTGTTGTGCTTTGTTATGATTTGTGTGTGTGTTGCCTGACTGTTATTTTTACACCTTAACCTGAGTGAGATGTTTCTCACTCCCCTATTTGTTCTATGTGTGTCTTCTACTGTGTTGTAGATGACCATCAACATGAGGATGTTGGTGATGAAGCTTAGGCTTCATTTGGGCGTGCTCTGATAGGATATGTGACATCAGGATGTAGTTAGGATTAACTTAGAATGCTACTTTTGTTAAATTGATTAGAAGACCTTAATTTTATCCTATTGTAATTTCCACATTAAACTATGATTTATGTTTTATGAATGTGAGTTCATTATTCTTATGTGCTTAGAGACTTGGATTTTATTTATGAAGGTTTTTATTTATCTCTATTTATTGTATAATTATGTATGTGGGGTAGAGGGTGTCACAGGATTTGTCTTGCAAATGCTTTAGGTTTCAAAAGACACGCTCAATAACATAATTCCTTACCTTTTTCTTCTTTTTATTTATCTCTCCCTTTTTTATTGCATTAATAAAATATATCCCTTATAATATTCTAATTATTCTAAATTATTTGTTATTTATTTATTTTTATTTTTAAAAGAAATGTTACATGTCACATCCTGAGAAATGCAATAAAAAATAAATTTAGTGTCGACGTAGTGTCGGCTTAACCGATAATAAAAAAGTAAAATAAATAAAATTGTTATCGACGGCTTAACCGACACAAAAAAAAATTGTATCGACTTATTTAGCGTCAGCCAAAAGCCGACGAATAACAGACAATATTATGTCAATTTTTATTATTTAGAGTCAGCCAAAAACCAACTCTAAAATGAAACATTTTTGTAGTGTACCTTCCCTTTATATGTTTAAATGAATAATAAACTACATCTTTCTCTTTTAAGATATATGAGTATTGTACTCTCACGTTCCTATTATATTAAGATATATAATTTAGAGTATTTAAGTCCATATTTCTAAATAATATATTTAAATAAAAATAGAAAATATTAGATATGTTTTACATTTTAATATAGTAAAATTTTTAAATGGTTAAAATTATTAAATAAATTGTGTTAAATATCTATTAATCAATTCTCTAAAATAATTCACTAAATTGACTAATCTATGTTGATTTATTTAATTAATATATCAATAGTTTTAGATATTTATTAAGTTAAAAATCTTAGATATTTATTAACAAGATACTTGCTTTTTCTAGATTAATGATTAATGGAAAAGAAATTATTTTCATACCATTAAAAGTATATCTGAAGATATTTTTCATTTAACTTTTAACAAAATCTTGGATCATGAAAGAACAACTATTTTAATGATTATGATATTCTTCATTTAATTCGTTTCTTCCTTCAATTTGATAATTATTCATTTCTAATTACTATATAGCAAGTTTAATCTATAAAAACCTGTATACGTATTCTTTCTTAATAAATTAGTAAAAGAAAAATTTTGTTTAATTTGCAAGTTGACTTTTGTTGAAAATGCAAAGGCTATTGATCTGTTGTATTTTGATTCATTTTTTTGTTTCACCCACTTTGTGTATCCGAAGCAATGCTCTATCCCAAATGACATATGTTAATGTGATGGACCAAGGTGCTCATGGTGACGGAAAAATTGATGATTCAAATGTATATGGCTTTCTGCTTTATTAACTTTTTTTTATTACTTATATATGGGGAATTTTTTTTATCTAAGTGCACATTAATTAACTTAATAGTATCTATATTCTAACTAGAATTTATTCTAATTGATTGTAGGCCATTTTAAGTGCATGGCAGCGTGTGTGTGGAATGGCAGGTCCATCAACTCTTGTCATACCTTCAGGAAAAATATTCTTTGTGAAAAGATTAGAGCTCAATGGTCCTTGCAAGGCACAAAGTGTTGGCATTCAGGTATAGCTGACTAACTTTGGATCAAACTACCATGATTTAATGTGTCTTGGGGGATATATGTGTATATATTTTATGTAAAGACCTAAATATGTCTCTATTCCTTGAAAAATATGCAAATTTTAATTTTTGTTATTGTAAAACTAATTATTTATTTTTCATCCATCTAAATTTAGAACGACTATTTTTGTCTCTAATATTATATACACAATTCCTTTTAGGTACTTATGTGATTATTATTATGTTTAGTGATCAATAATGTAAGTGGTACCCACTATTAATCGTGACATTATGTTAAGCTAAATTTATTTATGCATCTTTGAAAAAAGTAATGTTATTTATCTATTATTATAATATGATTGTTAGGGACCAAAATTAAAACTCGTTTCACTACAAGAAATATTACATATAAATATGTAGTGACATACAAAAAGTGTTACTATTAATATTATATATATATAAATAAATTAATTTATTCGAGACATATATTTACATATAATTTTAATGTTAATTTTGAATAAGATTTAACAATATATATTATATGTCATTATAATTTATACTTACATTTTTTTAATAATTATGGGAACATAATTTTAAGTACAAGTAATTTTTAGTCTCGATTATTGTGTCATTGTGAAGTATGTGTTACAGCAAGATAATTGTTTTATAGAGCTTATACTAGTACTAAAGAAACATATTTAAGATTTAAGTAAAATTTTCAACATGAGAATAATACATGTCTCGCAAGGATGACACATCGGATTATAAAATTCCTTCACTCCAATTAAACAAATATTACTTATCTATTTTTGTTTTGCTTTTATATGTTGCAGTTTGCAGGGAAAATAGTTCCGCCTACTATGGATACATGGGTTGGTGATAGGGGAAGTTGGATTGTGATCTCAGATGTAAACAATCTAACAATTGATGCAAAAGGAGGAATTATCGATGGCAATGGTTCTTCTTGGTGGGAGAAATGCAGAAGTTGTAGACGACCAACCGTAAGATATACAAATTAATTTGTTTGCATATATTTTGACATGCTTAAAATTTAAATTGAAATCATTATTATTTTAATGCAGTCCCTGCGTTTCCACAATTGTAATGGTCTTGTTGTGAATTCTCTGAGCATGACTAATAGTCCTGGAGCTCACATATCTGTAAATGGTTGCAACGGTGCAAAATTCTCTGGAGTGAGTATTACTGCTCCTGAGCACAGTCCAAACACCGATGGTTTTGATATTGCTGTGTCCAAATATATAACCATAAAAGATTCTACTATAGCAACTGGTAATCTAAACTAAGAAATACACAGTTTTCAATATTAATAGTAAACTGTTTGATTACATGTGCAACTTTAATTTACCTCACCTTTTGAAAATAGGTGATGATTGTATTGCCATCAATGGTGGCTGCTCCAACATCAATGCTACTAGGCTTTTCTGTGGACCAGGCCATGGGATAAGGTTTATATAATTTCTATATATCTTAGTTTCTCTAATATTATATTTTAGTTTATTTATGCAACTACGATATATATTTTTAACTTATTTTTAACTTATTTTTGACAATTCTTATGAGTCAATCAGCATTGGCAGTCTTGGTAAAAATGGATCTCATGAGATAGTTGAAGAAATTTATGTAAATAACTGCAGCTTCATTGGGACGACAAACGGAGCAAGAATTAAAACATGGCCAGTGAGTAATTAATAAATTATATAAGGACGAATCAGTAACTACCATTTTCTTTAATTTAGTTGTTTTCATCTTTTGAAAATATATATATATATATATATATATATTCAATTGAATTTTCAATATATGTTTTCAAACACATTTTTTTATACTTAATTATTGATTTTTATAATAAGTCTTATAAGTTGTATAATGTAAATTAAAATTAACTTTTGTATAAATTAATCGATAAAAGTTATCTCACATAATTTATTAAAAAACTAATTTTAACTTATGAGATAAACTTAGTCTTTTTTTAAGAAAAAAGGCTTAAATATGTTTCTTTACCTTCAAATTTAAGGTCAATTTATTTTTGGTTCCTCAAATTTAAAATTATTATTTTTTGTCTTTATAATTTTTAAAATTTTTATTTTAGTCTCTCAGGTTAACAATATCATATATGAAATTGATAGATTGAGACAGCTGTGTAGAATCAACTAAGTTTAATGTAATGTTTTTACTAACAGAAATACTAGTATATAGATTTTATACAATAGTACTCGACAAATTCTCTAACAAAATTTGAGTATAAGAATTAAAATAACATTTTTTAAAGTTATAAAGACTAATAATATCACTTTTAAATTTGAAAAGTTAAAACAAATTTATCTTAAATTTGAGAGACTAAAGCATATCTAACACTTCCTTTTTTATAAGTTCGTATTGGGAATTTTTTCAAATAAGGTACAAAGATAAATTTTGATCAATTGAGGGTATAAAATCTTCTACTCTATTATTACATCCTTGTTAGACTCTAAAATTTATCATAGTCTCACTAAATAATAAATTAATTCTTATTAAATTGGAAATAAAATCACATTATTTATTCTTTCAATATCATTCAATAATGAAAAGTATTTTAATATTGTGATTTTATTTCCTATTTAGCAATGTTTCATTTACTATTTAATTAAAAGTACGTCATTACATTTTCTCAATCAATAATTTTTTTCCATTACTTTCATTAATTAAGTGTTTTTTTCAATTTTATACAGGGTGGATCAGGTTATGCAAGAAAAATCACTTTCGATCAAATCATACTAAAAAATGCTCAAAATCCAATAATTATAGATCAGAACTATGGTGTTAAGCAACCAAGTGCATCGGTAAAAACTTTGAATATGTGTATATTCATATTATTTATATTGATTTGTCTATTATTTATTGTTTACTATAATTATGTTTCGAATTTGGGCAAAATATAGGAACAAGCAGTGATGGTGAGTGAAGTGACTTATCGTGGATTTGTTGGAACTTCGGCTAGGGACTTAGCAATAGTCTTGAAATGTAGCACATTGGGTTGTTTCAATATTACATTTGATAATGTTCACATTGTCTCTTCACAACCAGGAAAGCCGGCCTATGCTTCTTACAACAACACCCATGGAACAGTTATTAACACTGTTCCAAAAATCTCTTTGTTGAAATGAATTCAGAAACTTAAAGTGAAATGAAGATTATTATATTAGATACTTGTTGATTTTTCAATTTATCTATTATGTAGGAAGGTCCTAATCTGATGGTGATACAAAATTATATAGGCTATTTGTAGAAGTTTTGAATAAAAAAACTAATTTAGTTTTTTATCTACATAGTCAATAAAATAAATCATTAACTTTTTATATTTCCTTAATAACATCTATGACATATAAGCATTCTTCCATACATAGATAATAGACATCATTATACATTCATTCATCATTCATAAGTATCAAGTCAAACAATATAATTCGATCATAATTTAAGAATTGTATAATGTAAGTTTCTAATTCTATATGCTCGTGGTACCAATCTCCTACTACAAGAAATTTGCGTATTAGCAATGAAACTTTTGTTAATTTGGTGACAAATTTGTGAAAAAAAAAGTTTTACTAGTGCAAGAGGGGTATTTTACATCTGTTATATATTTTGAGATTTTTACGTCAGAAAAAAGTCCGACATCAATTCCGGACATGTAAATTTACGTCGGTTTTAAAGGCCAACGTAATATTATGTCAGAGATTTACGAACACCGACGTAAAAAATTAGAAAAACCAAGAAAATTAGCACAAAAATATTTATGTCGGGTGTACCAAGCCCGACGTAAATTTATGTTGGGCATCGTATAGTGTCTAACGTAAATTTATGCATTTTTTTTAAGATTTGCTTTACTTTTTGATACACCCAAAACATGCATACAATCCAAAATACAAAATCAAGTAGTACACCTAACCCAGGCAATCTAGAATACAAGTTCAAATATAATTTATATTTCAAAATTGAATCACAAAAAGAAAATAATATATAAATGTTAAAAAGAATGAACTAAGACAATAATGTAAACCCTATTATCCTAAAAAAGCTACAGAACCTAAGTTTGTGATTGCTATGAAACTATAGTTTGAAGTATCTAATTAAACTTAGAAATGTAACTATCATATGGTTTGAAGTAAAAAAGTTGCCCACTGTTCTCTTATCTTTGTGATTTCATCTTCGGACAATGGAGATTGATCTTGAAAGACCTGAAACATTAATTTAAGTGTCAGTAATATGCACTGTTAATTAACATAAAGGTAAATATACTTAAATAAATTTTGATATGAATTACCTACCCCCAAGAATCGGTAATACCCACAGAAAATATGGATGTCATTCAATACATGATGTAATAGCCACATTCAAACGAGTCTTGTTACTTATTACACTAAAATGAGAATCAAATAACAATATTATTTCCAAAGTCGATAAATTCAAATATTATTGCCTCTATTAAATAATTTGCTAACCTTAGGGTATATGAAGTGCAATGTCTTCGATCTAGCTCTTCCACTTAAAATATTAGTTTCGAACACGATTCTAATTAATTGAAATAAAAACAGATGTTAGACAATATATATAGTTACAGTTTTAAAACATAATGAAAAATTATAGTTACCCTTGTAATTGGCTTTTCATTTCCTGGGTTGGTTTTCGATGGAGTGAACAAAATCACACCACGGTGTATTCCTTAGGAATGATTACAATTAACTGCCAATGGGACCTACATTATATGACAAACAAATTAGTTATCAAAATTCCATGATTAAAAAACAAATTAAAAAAACTAACCCTTCAATGTATGGAGCCATGTATGTCTTCCTGAGTCACTCATTCATGTTTGCATATATTGTTGGATCTGGACCTTGGTGTTTCCTGAATTTTGGATGGATTAAGGCTCAATAAATCCATATACTTGTGCTTGTACTTGCTCCACACTCAATTTTTCCATGTACCTAACACAATTAATTATTATAAGTTAAATGTAATTATTGTAATTTTAGACTCATAAAAGAAAATATCACTTACATGACCCGAAATTGTATGATAGATATATTTAACATGGAGTTTCCCCCAACAATCTCTAATATGTCTAGCAGGGATATGTATAGTGGACAATTAGAGTTGTCAACTCCAAAAACTCTAATGTCCCACTACAATTGATAAAATCCTAAACAAATAAATAAAAATTAATTAAACAATAATAGAATTGTAAGAATATAAAAGAGCAATAATAGAATTACCTTTGCCTGTGTTGAAAGCGGCATCACCAAACGTTTTGGCCAAGCTAAGAATGTGTCGGTTGCCAACCCTACTAGTTGAACCTCTGTATTGGGCAAAAGCATTGGAGTAGTAGCATCTTGAACATGGTCAACCACAACCCGTGTCCAGTCTGGCTCTAGAGGGACACCATGGATGGTTGAGCCACCCTCAAATACTCAACCAATAGCCACTATCCATAGGGGGTCATCCTCAACATATAACTCACACTAGTTTGGTGCATCAGTGTGAGTATGTTCCCCTGAGGGATCTAGAGCACCACAACTCCCTTTAGTGTTCACTCGAACACCATCATTAGCAACTGCAGTCTTTTGCTGAGAATGAGCCAGAATCTCAAACTTCTCTTCAAATTCTTTTCGCATGTTATTCAATTTTTCTTGAAACGGTATCTCCATTCTCTGCATAGCCTCTTGACTGCAAGAGTCAACAGTAATGCTCCTCGGTGGTGGTGCACTAAAGTAATCTTAGAGACTTCAAGAACCACCAATACCACGCACACGCCCTGGGTGCTCTGGCCTTCCTATGGTCGTTGTGACTATATCATCTCGACCATGGGGAACAAATGAGCCTTGGGTTGCCTGCTCAACTAAACCCTCCTGCAACATATTAATAATAAGTAAGTATACCCTAAACTACACTTATGAGTTGAATGAGTTGAAAATAAAAGTGTTAGTATGTATATTTTTACTTACTATTTTATCAGTGATGACCCTTGCAGACTTAGAAGTCATATGCCTATCTGATTTTGTTTGAGCTGTTATCCACAACTCATAGCGGGGAGGTGGATCCAAAAGGTCAGCAGACTCAACCCCTAAAGCCTCTACCCTAGCCTTCATCAACTTTTTTTTTTTTTTTTAATTCATATCCCCCTCTTGACAATAGATGGGGTGCATCATTCTTGCTCTGTCGTTCTTGGACAGTTTGTCTTTTGGCCTGCAATAATGCAAATAAGAATATGAGATTAAAATATACCTTAAGTATTTGTGTTAATATAAGAATTATCAATAACTAACCTGACAAGAAGGGTCCAATCGAGTAGCACGAAATTTCATCCACTCCTCGTCACTAATCTGGTACTTTAGACAGGGAGTCTTATTTTGTCGCTTTCCAAATACATACTCCCGTGTCAAGAAAGTCTTAAAGTCTATGCACCTGGTGGCAAGGGCAGATAACATCTTCTTCCTCATGATCTTAGTGTTGGGAATGTCAAAATTTTTCTATCAAAATAAAAATAATTAATAAATAGCGTAATTAAGTTATATAATATTGAAGGGATGTGCAAGTATATAGATGAATATCCTGCCACATGAGGTTCTTGTCAGCCCCCTCAATGTTATCCCATGATGGAATGATAATAAAAACATGGCGTCAAGCTATGACTCCCAAATAGCACTGAAACTTTGCAGTATTTGGGCCTGATGCCTTGCCAGAATGAGGATCCACCTCAACTTGTGTCCTCACCTTGGCAATGCATCCCGCTGTCAACCCAGGCAATCGGGTGACAGATCTGCCTTCCCTATTGACACTATCAGACCCCGAATTTGCCATAACCTTGAAAAAATAACACTTTCATTATTAAAACAATGAATTAACTAAATAGACAAATAAAGTACAAAAATATAATAACAATATAGCAACAAAACAACTAATAATGTAAATATAAAAATAAAGTATCAAATTAAATTAAATATATTTAAAAAATGAATAAAGTAAATAGATAAACAAAGTTCAAGTAACTTAAGTGCAATATACTAATAAAACAACGAATAATACACAAACGCAAACCTATTAGGTTGGTATGTTTTCTCATATTCCTTCATCATAATCACTTTGAATAGCATGAATTTCGTTCACTTCATTGTCCGCAATAGCACCAAATGATGTACTTGAGAAAGACGGTGTCTCATGCATATCTAGATACTCGTCTTCGTGAGTTCCGTGCATGGTTCTTCCTTCGAGGACTACTGACCATTTCTCATCACATGGATCCCTGACATAAAAAATTTTCCTTGCTTGATATGCCATAATAAAAGGTTCATCCTTATAACTGACCTTGTTCAAATCAACCAAAGTAAACCCTAAATCATCTGTCCACACACCCGTATTGCGATCAACCCACTTACACTTGAACACAGGCACTCTAAACGTAACATAATCAATTTCCCATATGTCTTATATGACTCCGAAATAACTCATGGATGTTGTAATGGGATTTTTATCTTTAGAACTAGCAAAGTGCACAGACTCAGCCTGAATTGTAACCCCACTGCTTTGGACACTACTTTTGTCATCTTCTATCTTTGTATAGAAACAATATTTGTTAAGGTCATACCCACCAAATGTAATGACATCGTTGTTAGGCCCACGAGCGAGTCTCAAAAGTGTATCAGAAGCACTAACCTCACCGTAAACCTTTTTCTTAAACCAAGCTAAGAAATTCTTGTTATGTTCATTCAATACCCATTTTTCATTCATTCGGGGTGTGTTATCTTGATTTCATGTATGTGTTGCAATATGTAAGGAATTACTTCATCAGTGTTGTTCAATATGTACAAATGTGCTTGGTCACCTCCTGTTCGACTCACAGTACTAATCTTTAAACTTCGAGTACCCTTACCAAAATGTTTCCCATCATGTTGAGTCTTAGGAATTCCTTTTGGTTTTGATTTTGATATGTACCCTAAACAAAATTCAATGGCTTCTTCTACAATGTACCTCTCCACAATATAGGCTTCTGGCCAGTATTCATTCTTGACATATCTTTTTAAGATCTTTATGTATCTCTCAACAGGGTACATTCATCTAAGATAAATTAGGCCACACAATCGAATCTCCCTAACCAAATGAACTATCAAATGCACCATGATATCAAAAAATAAAGGTGGAAAATACATTTTTAACTGACACAAGATTGTGATTGCTTCATTTTCTAACTCATCTAACTTTAGAGGGTCAATTACTT